AAATCCTATGCATTCTTCCCTGTTGCTGGTTTTGTTGTAGCAGAATTTCAAAAGAAAAGAATGTAGAACAATGCTAGCCCCTCTTATATTTAGGGGTTTTCTTGTGTTGTTGAAAATTTGGAAAAAAAAGAGAGCAAAGTGGGAAAAATGTCAACTGAAGCACATTTATAAAAGAATATAACCACCAATTTGCCAACACAAGACTGCTTCTCTCAGTTCTGTGAACTGCAAGTGCTTTACTTGTGCCTGGAGGACTTGCCCTCAAACAGTGCTTTAGTCCAGGAGGTTCCTGGAGTGTTAGGGAGAGAACTTTCTGACACAGCTGGTGTGTGAGCCAGCTAGGGATGGCAGCTCCTGTACCCACTGTTTGCAAACTGTTGTAGCTGGGGACCACAGCTTCGAGACCGGAGCAACCAGAGACAAAGTGGTAAAATAATAGGACGGGTTCAATTTGATGACCCCCCCCCCCAAAAAAAAGGCTTTTATAGTAAAAAAACAAACATGTAATCCATACATGGTAGAGGGTGCACCAAAAGGGCAGGGTTCAGGTGTTACGGTAACTTATATAAACTAGGATAGGGGAGGAGTCTGAGGGTAAGGATCCAGTGAAGAGAGGTGGTTAGGAATATTTAAAACACTGCAGCAAAAATGAACCAATGACAACAAGGGAAACAGGGAACTTTCTAGTAACATTTCCATAACTACTAACAAGGGACAGTGTGGGTACTGTCTTTTCTCTCCATGATAAAGAGGGGCATTCCTGTGGCCTTCTGCCTGGGTTTTCAGCAACCCCAATAGCAAACACAGAAGGTCTGGTGGGTGATGTCATCACCAGAGGCCATTTAAGGCATAACAATCTGAAAATTATGGAGTTTTTGGTTCTCACAGATATGAGGAGGAGGGCAGGAAAACTGGTGCCTGGGACTTCTGGAAGAACACAGTTTGGCTTGTTTAGGAGATTGGTTGGTTGAAAGACTCCCTTGGGCAGCAAGTATTTGGTCCTGAAGGGCAAATGAGTCCAAGAAGGCTGGACATGCTTTAAGAATGAAACTCTAAAAGTACAGGAGCACAGGAGCTGTCCCCATATGCTGAAAGACAAACAGCCAGGAAACACCAGCTTGGCTGAACATAGAGCTTTGGCTGGAATTCAAGGAAAAAGGAGAGTTTATGACCTTTGGAAGGAGAAACAGACAACTCAGGAGAAGTAGAAGGATGTTGTGAGGTTATGCAGTGAGGAAATTAAAAGGGCCAAATCCAACGAGATTCTAATCTGTCTGTCCTGTAAAATACAGCAGAAATGCTTCTACAAATGTATCAGCAACAAGAGCAGATTTAAGGAGAATCTCCATTCTTGGCGGGATACAAAGGGAAACAGAGTGACAAGGGATGAGTAAAGAAGGCTGATATACCTAATGCCTTCTTTGACACAGATGTCAATAGCAAGAACAGCTGTCCTCAGGGTACTCAGCCCCTGAGCTGAAAGACAGTGATGAGCTGACACCATCACCAGAGCCCTGGCTTGCTCTTTTGTGCACAACCTGGCACCATGCCAGGTGTGGCGAACAGCCTTGGAGAAGCAACACGAGAGGGTAAACCATTAGAGCCGCTTGCTCTACAGGAGCAAGGTAGGTCAGGGGTAAGGCAAAAGAGTAAGGAGAAGGCTCTCTGTGCGGGTTCCAGCACCCTGGGTTTATTGAAGCTGAAAGGGTCAGGGAGGAAAAGCACTGAGCAGCTCCGTGCACAGGTTTTTATAAAGGGAAGTTTCAGGGGGTGGTTACAAAATTTTAACCAATCAAGAACAAATGAGGGAGGACCATGAGGTGGGGTTTACAACACGGAACCAGTGAGGATAAGGGGGAGGAGAGGATAGGTCACATGGATCAAGGGGGCCTCGAGGGTTAGGGGGTTTCCAAAGGGGTGATATTATCAGGGATTGGCTCAACTGGGGATTGACAGAGAAGGGTCTGGAAGAAGGGGCAGGGTTGCAGTGACAAGCAGGGAAGGTTCAGGAATAAGGAGTTGGGTTACAATGATGGGCAGCGTAGGGGAGGATACAACTTAGGGATATATCAACTTGGGGGGAACACAGGGGAACACTGGAATAAACCGTTAACATTGAACCATTAGCTATGAACCATAAAATAAATGCACACTGCAACAACAAGGAGCAGAATAAGCCCTCATAACCCAGGAGGAAATTATCATCAGTCTTAAATGCCTCTTAGACACACACAGGTCTATGGGACTGGATGGCATCTACCCGAAGGTTTGAGGATGCTGATGGAAGTTCTCAAGAGACCCACTTTTCGTCCTTTACCAGCAATCCTGACTGGTAAGTGGACCCAGCTGACTGGAAGTTAGCAAATGTGACCCATTTGCCATCTAAAAGAAGAATCCAGAAGAACTACAGACCTGTCGGTCTGATCTTGGGGGCTGTCCTGGAGCAGGTTATCCTGAGTGTCATTATGTGGCAGAATATGTGCAAGATAACCAGGGGACGAGACCCAGACAGTGTGGGTTTGTGAAAGGCAGGTCCTGCTTGACCAATCTGATCGCCTTCTATGACTGGGTGACCAACTTAATGGAAGAGGGAAAGTCTGTGGGTATTGTCTACATGGACTTTAGTGAAGCCTTTGACACCATTCATGACAGCAGTCTCCTGGAACAGCTGTTGAGGTTACTCATGGCCTGAGTGAGTGTATCCTTTCCTTTGCTAGATTCAGAACTGGCTGGATGGCTGGGCCCAAATATTTGTGGTTACTGGAATTACATCCAGTTAATGTTCAGTTGCTAGTGGGGCTCCCCAGGGCTCAGTGTTGGGTCAAAGTCCTATTTAACATCTTTACCAATTATTTGGATGAGGAGATCAAGTGCCCCTAATCAGCTCCCAGAAGACACCAAGCTGGGTGGGAGTGTCCATCTGCTGGAGGGTAGGAAGGCTCTGAAGAAGGATCTAGACAATTTGGATCAATGGGCTGAGGCCAATGGTATGTGATTCATGGAGAAGTGCTGGGTCCTGCACGTTGGCAACAACAACCCCAGGCAGGACTACAGGCTGGAAAGCTTCCCCCTGAAAAAGGGCCTGGGGGTACTGAGCATGAGCCAGCATGTGTGGCTAAGAAAGCCAATGCCCCCCTGGCCTCTATCAGCAATAGTGTGGCCAGGAGAACCAGGCAGTGATTGTTCCCCTGTACTCAGCACTGGTGAGGCCACGCCTTGAATGCGTTCAGTTTTGGCCCACTTGATTCAACAAATCATTGAGGTGCTGGAGTGTGTCCAGAAAAGGACAATGGAGCTGGTGAAGGGTCTGGAGAACAGGTCCTATGAGTTGCAGCTGAGGGAGCTGGGGATGGAAAAATTTCTTCATTGACAGGGTAGTCAGGCATTGGAATAGGCTGCTGTAGTGGTGGTGGCATCACCGCTCCTAGGAGTGTTCAAATGGTGTGTGGATGTGGCACTTTGGGTCATGGTGGTGAGCATGGTAGTGCTGGGTTACAGGTTGGACTTCATTTTTTTAGAGGTCTTCTTCATCCTCAACAATTCTATAATTCTGTGACCAGAGTTCAGGAATTGAAAAACACCCACCAAGATGCACATATCACAAATTCCCACAGAAAAGCCAAAAAGCCCCAGGAAAAGCCAGCACAACAACCAGACTCCCAGCTGACCCATAAGCAATGGTTTCCTAAGCAGTCCTCCTGCAGTGCTTCTTCATTGAGCTTCCAGAGCCTCTGCTTTTTCAGATACTTAGTCTGTCAGATTGCATGTGAGAAGTAATATGGTGCTTATTAAGGGCATGTGTGCTCTCTGGAACTCTGTGCTCTCAGGAAAACAGCTTCAAATGGGTCAGCCCACTTCTGGGTCTGATACACAATTTCAGTGGGAAAAAAATTAAGTGTTCTTCCAAATACCCACGCAGAGAACACCTGAAAGGGAAAGATATACTGAGAGAAAATAATTTTAAATGACGCAGTGGAGTGTCTTCAATTCAAAGCCTGTTTCTTCTATTACATGTACATTAAGGAAGCTAACAAGACCACTTCCAGTAAGTCAGTACCCGTCCATTCTGCTTAATCCTATTTGTACTCCAAAGAAATAAGTCAAAACAACAGGAATGTGGAAAGGAGGTCTAGAGACTCCCACCCATGGTGTGTACAACAGTGCAGAAGAAAAATCTTTAGGGAAAGTCAGTGGGAAGCCAGTCCCCAGGCCGAAGACAAGTACTTGTCTGGAGCCTCTTCTTCTAAGGTTCCCTTTAGCTAAAGAACAGAAATTAAAGCAGAATCAGAAGATGAAGCAATGTGCACTGGGAATGTCAGCTCCAAGGAAACAGTGAAATCCAAGGTGCAACTTCCCACATTTTGGAAGACTTTTAATACATTTCAGGACAAAAAAACACATGCAAAAACATAAGCCTACGTGGTATTTTTCTTGGACTCAATGCTAAAATAACTTGCCAGTAGCAAATTCCATACACTGAAACCACAGTTCTTACTACACACTCGTGTGTTTCCCATCATACGCACTCACAGACACACACACATTGCATAGAAAAACACTCAAAAAGCCAGCATCAACATTATAAAAAAATATCCCCCAAAGCAAGTTATCACCTCACCTCTGAGTAGGAACACTGGGCTCTTATGCTCAGCATGCAGGCGCAGCCAAACCTCCCTTGTCCATCAGAATGACACCCCTCGTCATTTTACACAAACTTCAAACACACCTTTTAAAGACATTTTTGTGAGTCCTTCTACATGGGCTCAGGTGTAGTTCTCTCTATTTCTCTTTCTGATGTTTCCTTTACTTTCTACTGTACAGTTCACACACCTATTTGCTTCTCTGTGTTTCAGCATCCCTTCACCCTGCATCTACCAAGGCAAACAAACCAGCACCACTGTGTCTGTGTAGTACTGCACACAGAATATCCAAGTTCCATGCTGCCAAGCTGAAACAAGTCTCGTTAGCAGTAAAACTCAAACTTTTTTATATTTATTTTTATCAGTTAAAGCGCTCACATCCAATTTCTGATTTAATTTTTCCAGTTTGAATAGTAGTAGTTATTTACCATGATTGTGAAACAAAGGATTTAACTCTTCAAAGGATCAGAGTCCATATAACTTTTTGTTAGGAGAATCATGGGCTTCCTCTATTAGTCATTTTTCTGCTAAGCATGTCGAATAAAAACAAGCTTTCAAAAATGTAAACTCTATATTAGACTAATGCAGCACCTGAATCATAAAATAAATACATGAAACAGAAAGTAAAAAAAAGAGAAGAGATGCAGGTAATAATTTCCCAGGGGATACACTCTGAAATCTTCTTACAGAGATTTTTTTTCTGGGATTCTTCAGGCCTGCCCAGCCCCAAATCAAAACTGTAAAGTCTTACTGAATCACAAGAGGTCTTGTATTTCTGCATTAGCTCTTTTCATTGGCTCTTTGAAATAATTCAAACTGCATCTCAGGTATCTGTGAGCAGAGCTCCATTCACTAGCTAACCATGAGCCATCCTGGATGCCATGCTGACATACCTGTAAGGATGTACAAAGGGAAAGCAAGGAAGGGGAGGGCCAAAAAGAGGAAGAGGTGTTGCGGTTGTGAGTAAAATAATACTTACATTAAAAGGAACCCCACTCCAACTATTGCCCTACATGGATCCGGTTCCACAGAGGTAATGGTCCAGAAATTTCCTTGACTTAAAAGGCTTTCTAAGATCTAAACACAAGGAAAATTAAAAGGTGATAAATTAAAACAGAATGGCAAAACCAGAACACAATTATAAAATACAACAATAATAGGAGAAAGACTGGTTATAATGGCAGTGACCTGTAGGCCTAGGTTTATGGTTCACAAGGCTATCTCAGCATAGCTCTTCTGCACATCTCAGATGGGTGAGACAGGTCCCTTCCACAAAAAAAATCAGCTGCTTATTGTTTCTCCTTGTGCAACTTTCTGCTTCAGATGCAGCTCAAAAAGGCTTCTGAAGTATGTGAATTGCTTCATGAAGTCCCAAAGTACCACTGACTAAATTAAAATTACAGTCCAAAGGAAAAAAAAAAGCCCTACATTTTTTTTACTTGATTCTCAGGATTATTAGTTTAAATTCAGACAACTCAGGGGCTATTTGTCACTCATGTTTGGTGTCTTATAGAGTCATATAGTACAGTTCAGTAAAGGAGCAGCACTCTATGATGGCAGGCTCTCCTAAAGGAAGCTCTCCACTTACACACCCTGCCAAGGCCTGCCAAGACCATAGAGGTGCAAACTCTTGTCTTCCAGAAAAGACACATTTGTCACCAGGTAGAAAAAAAGCAAAGATTTTCCTTCATCCAAGTTACAAAACCTGGAAGAAAAGAAGCATGATAGTGTTATTCCTTTGAGTTCTTCTTAGTTACTGTCATGGAGTTACTTTACGTTTAAGGGAGTTGGAGTTGCTGGGAACTGCCTGGAGTCTTTTCTCCTGACCAATTATCGGTCATTGCTGAGAATTGACAGCAGTTTAAGCCATTGAAAAGTGGGATCAACTTGTGAACCCTACCTTAAAGTGTAAAAGCAGAGCTCTCTGGGTTCTCTTTGTTTCCTGGCTGTGGAGGGTGGCGGAGCTCCAGGCCTCCCGTCCCTGCCCAGGCCATGCGGCCGGGCGGGGATGGGGCCGGGCCTGCCCCGTCTCCCGGCCGGGAGATTGGGGGGCCTGGGGAAGGTTTTCCTCGGGCCAGGCCGGGCTGGGCTGATCTCTGGCTCGGCTGCAGGTTTTGCTGTAACTACATTCACTAGAAACTGCCCAGTGAAGAGGGAGAGAAGCTCAGGACCTGCAGCAAGCGGAGACAGCCACACTCTCCAGAGCAGCTATGAGGAACCTTCCATCACAGACGGCTCCAGCTCCTGCTCGGCAGAGATCTCCGAACCAGCTACAAAAGCCTGGGCAAGATTTTAACTCTTTCATTACCCAGATGAGACTTGCGGATTAATCTTTTTATCCAGAGAGAGAAAAAGAGAGTGATCAACATGAAAAGAGACTTTATAAACTACCAGTGACAGGAAAGAAAAGAAGCTTCAGAAAAGGTAGAGAATTAAGAAGATGCTTTAATTAAGCTGAAATATCTCCCTGTTAAAACTATGGAGATGGACAATGAAGTCCTGAAAAGAACTCCTTTAATTCATGATACAGGATCTAGAGAGGAATAAAGTGTTCAAAGTGTAAATTTGAGTAAAAAGTAGAGTAATTATGGTATAGTGAAGTGCTGGGAGATTTGAAGCCTTGAGAGGCAATGAGAAAACTGTTTTCTGGTGAAGCTCACAGAAACAGATGAAGAAGACTTTTTTTGCCTTTGAATAACTTATCCTTAAAAAGGCTATCCCTAGGCTCATGGCCCATACACACTTCAGAGAGATGTGAAAATGGGATGAGCGGGCTCTAATAATAGCAGCTCTGGGCAGCTAACATTAGGGCAATGGAAAACTATAACAAAAATAGTTTTCTTGTGAGAAACTCCATAAATTGACAGGAAGAAACTTCTGTTTCTCTACAAAGACTGGTGAAAAGACTTTAGCAAGAATTGGGACTGTTTTAACCATCAAAGTTCCAAAGTTTTTGTCTCTGTTGTCATGTGAACAAGGGAATAGTGGGTAGATAGGGGATGAAGAGGTTTTTCTGGAAGTTTATTCTGGTGTTCTTATTATTGTAATTTGTCAATAAACTTTCTTTTTTTTCCTTTTAAGTTTTATGCCTGTTTTGCTCTTGTTCTAATCCATATCTCACAGCAAGAAGTAAGTAATTTTCTTAGTTATTGGTTTAAAACCATGACAGTTGCCATGTAATTTTTGCTAAATGCCTTTCCCTTCTCTTCTCCTTCAAAAAGCTAGGCAGACATGCCTTCCTACATATATTTTCCCCAAGACAAACTTCAGATGAAAAAATCCACGGGTACTAACCTTGACTCAACCTGGAGCAGTAAAATCAGTTTTATCTAGGTGTTGAAATAACCTTTTAATATCATTTTGGGTCTCCTAAATCATATCAAATGGATTACTCTTTCAGAGTACCCAGAATCTCTCATTTCTACCATAAATCACTTTTCAGATATTTCAGTTGGCTTTCCTCCCTCAACAGATGGGGAAATCCACCTCATTCACACACCCATAAGTGAGTCTAGCCCCTCTTCAACTAAGGCAGAGCCCTTCCTTGCCTGGGAAGCAATTTCCAACCTCCAGCTACCAATCTCCCCACTTCTCAGCTTCTTTGACTTATGCCTTGCTCCCCAGCAGGTTTCATAAGGCTGTGGCATGTTAGGGAGCTAGGAACCTCCAAAGTGGGATCCACTGCAGAGATTTGAGCTCAAGGGATGGAAATATTGGACAGAAAAGCCACATTTTTTGTGCTCTATTGTGCAAAATTTTCTATCCACTGCACACACTTGACATCCTAATTCATCTAGGTGACTCAAAGATCTTGCAACTCTTAACTGGCAGCTTGAGTTAAGCCTGGAGAAGAGCCTGTGAGAATTTTTGGATTAGCAAAACAGACTAAAACACAAACTGCCTTGTGTTCTGTGCATCATCAGCCCTAAATACAATCTTCTCCATTGCAGCCTTACCTTGCACCAATGGCAAGCAGGTATAGCTGCTGTGGCAGCTGAAACACTTGTGACACATCCAGTTAAAGCTGTTAAAATGAGAGTGGAAATGTTCATAAGGAAAGCTGTGGTAGGGTGATAAGTGGCCCAGATCACTTGCAGACAGCCAAGTATCTGAGCCAGGGATTTCTTTTGCTAACATAGTGTCGATAGGGGCAAAATTATTTCTGCAGTACCAAATATACCAGCATATACGTTAAACTTTTTTTTTCTTCTCTTGTCAGAGCAGAGTAGTGCTTAATTTTTGTGCTTAATTAGCTGAAATTAACTGAGGGAAGTTAAACTGGGTGTGTACTTTTTCAAGCCGCTCAAGCTAGGTAGTGCAGTTTCCTGGCATGCACCTTTTTCTAGCAATAAGATTCAACATGTTTGCAACAAAAAAGACAAGAATGATTAAATGGAGTTGGAAAGTAGTAATTGTTCTCATTGCTCTAAGAAAACATTAAAAATAATTACAATTTGGCAGTGGTATATTCAGATATAAACAGTCAGTGTCTCAAATGCTCATTGGGAGTAAAAGTTAACAAAAATTAAACACCTGTTCATACATCAGTGCTGCTGCAGTTTAGCAGCATGCAGCATTCCTGAAGCTGTTAAATACATGCATTATGCCAACAAAAATTTGGCCACATGTTTACTTAAGGCCTGAATAAATATGGCAAATTTCTGCCAAAAACAGATCAAGCTCTTACCTGGGGTTAATCAGACTGACAGCAAAATGATAAGAAACCTACACATGACAAGTATTAACATGTAAATAGCTATTGTTGATGCAAAACAGAATGTCTATAGAAAAAAAAAAATCCTGTATTCTGATGGACAGAATGTATTGATTTATTTACATGGTTTCCAGCTGTGTGAATGGAGCTGCTGGGACCCATGGATGGCTGGGACATAAAAGATGAAGTGAGTGAGCTGAGCTAAAGCAAAGGCCTAAGTGAGCACTATTCTCATGGGCTGCGCGCACAAAAGCCAAATCTGCAGCCTGACTCAGGCTGGCTAATCCTGAGGGTGTGAGGGAGAGTATTTTGACTAGCAAAAACATATGTGTGTAGAAGTTCTGCAGTTCAAGTCCTTTAACTCTGTGCTTTTCTTTTTTGTGGTTAAACTTCCAGAAAACAAAAACCAGAAAATTGTATTTGTATTTCCTCTGGCCATGGAAAGTAAAGGCTGAATTATAAATTATCTCAAGACATGTTTGGGCTTTTACCTTATGAGAAGTTTAGAGGACTCATGTAAAAAAAATAATCTAATGTTTATAGGATAAAGGACTGCTGGCTCTGTGGCACTTCGAAGAACGCTTGGCAGAGTATCTGCACAGGAGAAGCCGTGCTGTGGTTTATGATGCAAGTGACCTCAAGGCAGATGTTGCTACTTACGCTGTTCTCAGCTGCCCACTGTAGCTTCTCCTCCCTCACAACTGGGGCTACAAGGGGACCTGCACCCTGGCTGGCAAGCAGTAGCATGCTTCCCAGAGGGAATTTTGTCAAGAGTCTCCCTTCTTATGGAGGGCTGTAGTTTTCAGAACTCAACACATTTTTTTCTTCCACAAAGTGGAAGAAAATACCAGAGTGATTCTGTTATGCTACTCTTAAGACAGGTTATCAAATGGTTCCAAAATGGGCAAATCTGAATATCCCATACATCCCAAATACTGAAAGATCTCAGATTCATGCTCCAAATCAGAATTACTGCATGGTTGCATCTTCAGAGACAACCTAAATAACCTAAATAAAGAAGCATTCCATAAACAACCAAATCCATAGCCAGTTAGTTATAATTTTTTTTATTCATGTTAGAATTTCTATCAGTGTTTGAACATTAATATTTAGAGAGTTTGTACAATTACCATTCAAAGCTTAAACTGAGAACCACTAGATCACAAATGGTAACTAAAACACAGTTCAGAATTGTATGAATATTCACACTCTCTTTCTCTCTTAACACTGTTAAACACTTTATTTTCTCCAGGGGGTTTACAAGGAAAAGTGTGCACTGTAATTGTATCTCAGCAGTGTTCTAAATCATAATGGTATCATCATTACATATAAACTCTTTAAAAATATACTTCTGTCAAAAGACTTGATGACTAATATGTACACTACAAAAATAAATTTTCATATAAATAAATTATATGGCATAATTTTATCTTTGTAACTGAAATGACACAAACCCACTCCTACCAAAAAGGCAGGCAATGAGACCCAGTTTGAATATTTTTTTTTTCCTTTTTACTCCTTACACTAACAGCTAGAATGAGTCCATAATGTAAATGTTATATACTCTTTCCTATTTAACATTAGTAAGCACTCTATACAAATAAAAATCCATTAAACAGTAAAAACATAACTGTAATAGTGTTTCCAATAGAAATAAAATCCCTGCATTTTGTTTGTT